GTAAATTTTGTATTTATATAATCTAAATACCACAAATCTATCTATTAATGCAAGCATTGAAGAAGAACTAGGACCCCGTTTAGACAAGTATAACTCTCTCATTTGGACTCCGTTTAGGGTCGTTCTTGTGCCCAAATTGAAGCCCCGGAAACAAGCTTTCCAATGGTTCTACCTCACATTCAAATTCAAAGTATGGAAAAAGAAAAGGGCAAAAGAGTGACGGTTGTTCGTAGGAAGATTATCCGAATTAAAGTTTTTGATCCAATCTTACTTTACCATCATGTTACCACTTCGATCAATGTTTCAAAATAAAACAAGGAGACTCCAAATATACTAATAAAGAATTCAAGGGCAATCTCACTTTTTACACTCGAGCAGTACTTTCTGCACTCGAGCGGCCCGCCTGCAAACACGCGATATATTGGGAGCAACAATTCTACGCTCAAGCGCCACTTCTTGCACTCGAGCAGTCACCTGGACAAATAGTCACATTCAACTCAACACAAAAACGGCCTAAGGCTGACATTTAATAAATAGCCATAAAACAAAAATGGAGCCTTAGCTCCAAGTTCTCTCAAGTCAGTGCCTTGGCGGAGGCATATCACCGGTACCTGAAATGGTTTCCCTTATAGGGTGAGCCACACTCCAGAAGAGATATACTACACAACATATTGACCATGACTAGACTAAAGAGGAGTATGCTCATGATAAAATAGTTTATCTCTCTTTTTATAAAGCATGCAATGCTAAGGTGCAACAACAGATATAAAATTATTTCCATTTTAAACCATATCTGTTATATTAATATAGGCTCTGTGAATCTCTAGATGAGTGTCTGGAAGTAGGCCCTAATGCACTACCACTTTTACCATTAAATTGGAAGGCTTGACACCTAACCGCGCGGTTCTATACCCCCTACCCAGATTTACCAAGTATTCATCTTTTTGCAAACAGATACATTTCCAAACATTTCTCAAAAACAGATAGATTTCCAATGAAATGAATGTAATGCAATGTCCAATGCAGCAAATAAGGAATGTGGTTCAATTTACCTAAGTCTCATGCATTTCTACAATAATCATGGCTATCCTCCATCGATAGCCCAAAACAGATATTTTTAAACATATATTTAAATAATTAAATTCCAAAAATTCCGATAAATACAATCTATTCCACATCTCATCAAATATGAACAACTACACTAGTTTTCATATCACAATCACATCCGGTAACCTCTTAAGGTCCATTTCTAACCGTGTTGAATTTATTCCAACAGATACATTAAGCAAAATAATACCATTAATGCCCAAAAAAACATCATTTTCTTTCCAAACACATTCTCCAAGCAGTATTCAACTATGACTTCCTATTTTGATCAAAAGCCACAAAAGTTAAACATAATTCCTTTGTTTTCTTTAAAAATGCTCTTTTGGTCGCAAACCGGTAAAATTTCAAAACCAATTGAATCGAAGTCCGTTTTTGTTCAAATTTAAAACATAGCTCTTTTATAACCTTACAAACATATTCCAAGTTTACACTTTCACAATTTGGGCATCAACTCTTTATTTTTCTCAAAATTTCTCTTTTAAGCAAATAAATCACAAATTTTTCAAAAATTCTAATTAAATTATATACAACTCTAACCTCCATATAATCAAGTTAAAGTTCATAAATAAGGGTAGGAAAAATCCCTACCTCAAGCCAAGAAGCTTTTAAAATTTTTGGCAACAGAAATTAAATCTGTTCGAAGCCAAACGACGCCTTTTTCGCCCTCTACATTTTGATCCAAAGTACTAGGGGTCAAAAATGACTTACACTAAATCAAACCCATAAAAAATGAACATTGGAACCCTTTTTTTCTTTCTCCCTCACGGCAAGAACTCCAAGAGTTGAACAGAAAATCCATTTGGTCACTTTATATAGATATTTCCTTTTCTTTTTGTTTAACTAAACAAATATCTAACCATATATATATATATATATCAATTAAAATACATTTCAACATCTTTAATGACAAAAGTAAATATAATATTTTCTTACCACAAAATATATTTCGTTTAATGGTTCACAAAATAAATATTCACAACTCTTTTATGGTAAGCAAATAATAATAATAAAACCACAACACTATTACATGGTTACTAACGGGTCACAATTCAATCAATTGGGTCCAAAATGAATGGAGTTTAATAATTTAAAATAAATCCCCAATTGAGATTAAAGTATAAATTCAATTTGATTCAATTCGTTACATATTCCTAACGACATTTTTTTTTACTTCTATATAAATATTTAAAAAAAATAAATATGAAAAAGGTAGTCAATATAATATTATACATTAAGTAAAAAAATGTGATTAGCAATTATGCTTACATAAATTTATTATAGTTTTAATTTCAAATTAAAAATAATAAAAAAACTATTTTAAAAGCATTTTATTTAGCTAGTATCAAATAGAATTTTCCTAGCAAAAAGAAAAGTTATAAAATTTTGTTACAAAATTTCAAATGTCTATTGTTAAACATTATATTCTACTTGCTTGTTTGTTTACTTGCTTGCTTTGGAAGTTTTGATTTTTGATCTTTGCTCCAGATTCATTGTATTGTTCTATTTATTTTTCTTCTTCTTACTTGATTTTCGCATGATACTTCTTTCATAGTGCATCTCCGAATGTTTTAGTGAAAACATTATACACTTAAAATGCAAAAAATTATAATTTATAGAAAAAAAGAGAGTAAGTAATTGCCCAAAACTAAAACTACTTTAAGAAAAAATAAAAATAAAAAAAAAAAAAATGAAATTGATTGAAATAGAAAATGATTTACTTATTTATTTACTAGTTTTTTAAAATAAACTTTTAAAGAAAACAAAGAAAACTATATTAGAAAAAAGTACAGAAACCAAACATAAAATATAATATAAAAAATAAATGAATTATAGGATTTTCAAGAAGCGAGACTCACAAATAAATTTTATAAAATCTTATCTATTTATATACTTTTTGTGTATATTTTTGTATTTCTAATCCCAAGAATGGCGTTGAAATAGTCTACACTTCTTGTATTAGGTCCATCTAATAGCTTTAGCAAACACATATATAATAAATTTCATAACACAAAACACAAACAATTGTGAGATAGTATCTAAAAAAAATAAAAGTAACATTCAATGATGATGTAGAAGCACACCTGACATTCCATGAAAAAGGAAGACAACCTTTATTTTTCATCGCAACCGGAACATTCAGCGACATTGATGGTCGTCGCACATTCCTCAGCGGCAAGATGTATTTCTGCACACTGATGCGGTGTCTATGCATGGGTGTCCTCCTCGTCTAACTCGGATACAGCTTTCAGACCGGCGAATAGAGCATCTTCTTGCTGCTGTAAGGCATTGATGTGGTGGATTAATATTTCAGTGTTCTTTTCGCCGATGACCATCAACGACCAGTGCAACAATAAAACATCTGGCTCGTATTTTAAAACCAAGCGCCGAAATTGGCCAAGATCTCTGAGATCCATTGCAAAATAAGACAAATCCGCACATTATTTTGCCTTTAACAACAGTATTTATGCTACGCTTTCCCTGTTCAATCCTTTAATCCGGATCGCAGATCTGAGAGCGAAGCAGAGCCCTTAGCCAACAATACGGCACCAAATGCGGAAGGGAGCACGAATCCGGTGACGGCATGTGGTGCGAGGGGAGCGTCCCAGGTAATATTAGTGGGACGCTCTGGGAACCATATATAACTCACTCCCTAACTCTCTAACATCAGTCAAGTTTTTAGAGAGTGACTTGCGTCATCAAAGGGAGTAAGTGACGTCATTGAGAGTGAGTTATGGCTTCAATGCGATGTCATTTTAGATTACAAAATAAGAACATCTTTCTGACATATCCTAGATGTTCTTTACATAAAAAGGGACTCCTGCAGAAACTTAGAGCACTGTTCACCAACAGGCAACCAAATTATATCAGAGTTGCACATGAATTACATGCCAATGGTGAACCACATCTACATGCTCTCGTCTAATTCCCATATCGCTTCCAGATGCAAGATGAACGGTTCTTCGACGTTACCCATGACAATAGTAATCGTCATTTCCATCCAAATATGCAAGGGGCAGCTAATCATGAAAATGTTTTGGAATACATCTCGAAACACAATGACTACACTAAATGAGGTGAATTTTGTGAATGGGGCCGCTACGCTAACCAATAGAACAAAGAAAATATATATCGTGAGGCGCTTGCAGCGGACAACAAGGAGCAAGCGCTGGCAATGGTGAGAAACGGAGACCCAAAATGCTATTAGTTAAATTATGACAAATTGTCCTCAAATTATGACAGGATTTTATTTATTCCACCATTGCCATACGTTCATCAATTTGCAGAAACGGTATGGGCCATCCCAGCAAATCTACAGCAATGGGTTGCAGAAAATATCAAGGACGAGGCCCAAAGACCACACAGGCCCAAAAGCATTATAATTGAAGGTCCGTCTAGGATTGGGAAAACATGTTGGACCTGCTCTTTGGGGCCACATAATTATTATTCCAGCCACATCGATTTACGGGACCGCAATGTTGTTTCTTTATATAATGTAATCGATGACATGGCCCCATAATATTTAAAACATTGGCGGGAATTTATTGGAGCGCAACGGGATTTTATTTTGAATTGTAAATATGCCCGCCCAAAGAAAGTAAAGGGCGGGATTCCAACCATTATATTATGTAACCTAGGAGCCGATTCCAGTTACAAAGAATATCTAGACAAACATGAACACGCTGGGATCAAAGCGTGGACGATCAAAAACGCAGAGTTCTACACAATCGATTAGCCCCTGTTCGCTAGAACCGATCAAGAAAAGGCACTGCAATGAGAAGAAGAAGGCCCAACGCAGGAAGGTATTCCACTTCCAATGCGGATGCTCGATATTCCACACAAATGGATGTATCGAACCACATCCATTGGAGAGAGAGGACGCTGTCCGGGGTCTTTTACGACACTTTGAAGAACTTGATCCAGCATGTTTTCCCAATCCCAGATGGGCCTTCAATTATAATGCGTTTGGGCCTGTGTGGTCTTTGGGCCTCGTCTTTGATATTTTCTGCAACCCATTGCTGTAGATCTGCTGGGATGGCCCATATTATTTCTGCAAATTGATGAACGTACGACAATGGTGGAATAAATGAAATCCTGTCATAATTAGAGGACAATTTGTCGTAATTTAACCAATAGCATTTTGGGTCTCCGTTTCTCACCATTGCCAGTGCTTGCTTCTTGTTGTCCGCTGCAAGCGCCTCATGATATATATTTTCTTTGTTCTGTTGGTTAGCGCAGCAGCCCCGTTCATAGAATTCACCCCATTCAGTGTAGTCACCTTGTTTAGAGATGTATTCCGAAACATTTTCATGATTAGCTGCCCCTTGCATATTTGGATGGAAATGATGATTACTATTGTCGTAGGTAACGTCGAAGAACCGTTCATCTTGCGTCTGGAAATGGTATGCAAATTGGACGAGAGCATGTGGATGTGGTTCACCATTGGCGTGTAATTCATGTGCACCTTTGATATAATTTGGTTGCCTGTTGGTGAACAACGCTCTAAGTTTCTGCAGGAGTCCCTCTTTATGTAAAGAACATCTGGGATACGTCAGAAAGATGTTCTTATTTTGTAATCTAAAATGACGTCGCATTGAGGCCATAACTCACTCTCAATGACGTCACTTACTCCCTCTGATGACGCTAGTCACTCTCTAAAAACTTTACTGATGTTAGAGAGTTAGGGAGTGAGTTATATATGGTTCCCGGAGCATCCCACTAATATTACCTGGGACCCTCTCCCACGCCACGTGTCATCCCCGGATTGGTTCTCCCTTCCGCATTTGGTGCCGTGTTGTTGGCTAAGGGCTTCGCTTCGCTCCGCTCCCAGATCTGTGGTCCGGATTAAAAGATTGAACAGGGAAAGCGTAGCACAAATACTATTGTTAAAGGCAAAATAATGTGTGGATTTGTCTTATTTTGTAATGGATCTCGGAGATCTTGGCCAATTTCGGCGCTTGGTTTTAAAATACGAGCCAGATGTTTTATTGCTGCACTGGTCGTTGATTAGCAATTATGCTTACATAAATTTATTATAGTTTTAATTTTAAATTAAAAATAATAAAAAAAAAACTATTTTACAAGCATTTTATTTAGCTAGTATCAAATAGAATATTCTTAGCAAAAAGAAAAATTATAAAATTTTGTTACAAATTTTCAAATATCTATTGTTAAACATTATATTCTACTTGCTTGTTTGTTTACTTGCTTGCTTTGGAAGTTTTGATCTTTGATCTTTGCTCCAGATTCATTGTATTGTTTTATTTATTTTTCTTCTTCTTACTTAATTTTCGCATGATACTTCTTTCATAGTGCATCTCCGAGTGTATTAGTGAAAACATTATACACTTAAAATGCACAAAATTATAATATATAGAAAAAAAAGAGCAAGTAATTGCCCAAAACTAAAACTACTTTAAAAAAAAATAGAAAAAATAAAAAAAAATGAAATTGTTTGAAATAGAAAATGATTTACTTATTTATTTATTAATTTTTAAAAATAAACTTTTAAAGAAAACAAAGAAAACTATATAAAAAAAGTACAGAAACTAAACATAAAATATAATACAAAAAATAAATGAATTATAGAATTTTCAAGAAGTGAGACTCACAAATAAATTTTATAAAATCTTATCAATTTATACACTTTTTGTGTATATTTTTGTATTTCTAATCCCAAGAATGACATTGAAATAGTCTACACTTCTTGTATTAGGTCCATCTAATAGCTTTAGCAAACACATATGTAATAAATTTCATAACACAAAACACAAACAATTGTGAGACAGTATTTAAAAAAAATAAAAGTAACATTCAATGATGATGTAGAAGCACACCTGACATTCCATGAAAAAGGAAGACAACCTTTATTTTTCATCACAACAATTACATATCTCAATATATAATTTTAATGTCGCTCACTTTTCCACACGTCTAATTCTTTATCACTAGTAAAATGAATGCATGAACCAAAAAAAAGAAACATTTGAGAAGACAAAAAGATGTGGCTTGAGACATTTCAATTGTTGAATTCTATTAATTAATAGTTATTAGGCTTCAATGGTCGGGTTTCTAATATTTGTTAACCATAAAAGTTGAGTTCTTCGCTTTCATCTATATTCATTTGATAATTTGAGAGTGAACACGTGTCAAGCCTTTATACAAACACTTGGCACAGTTTTTTAGCATTATTAATGAAATGCATAGTGTAATTTTTTTTCCCTCTTTTTTTTCCCTCAATTGCAACCTGTTATTTTTTAATAAGAATTTATGTTTATTTAAGATATTTTTTTTAATATACAAATTATTTTTTTTTTAGATTTTTTATAAAAATAATTTAACAATCTCATCACTAACCATAGTGTATGGGAGATGTTGAAAATGGCGCGATAATAGGTATGGGAGAAGTAAAAAAGGCCTGAGAAATTTAGCTAAAACCCTTCCATTGGACCCTTATTTAGTGAAAAGGACAATCCAATTTATTTTGCTTCATAAACCCCCTAAGGAAAAAACATATAATTGAGTAAGAACAAAGTAAAATATCTTTTGTTTTTTTTTTCTTCGACGATGTTACCAGAGTAATATATTACTGTGAACCAGTGTAAAATGTTAGTGTCAGACAAAATAACATGTTACTGTCAGACAAAATAACATATTACTGTCAAACAGAGTAACATGTTACTGTTTACATTAATTTCAACGGTAATATATATATATATATATATTTTAAAGAATTTCATAGTCAACATAGATCATATTTAATAGATCTTGATGTGAAAATTCTAAAAATAGTAATTTTATTACAAACTGATATCTACATCAAAAGTTATATTATATTAAAATTTAATATTTTGATAATAATTATATGTGTTGGACTTTTTAAGGAATTTTTTTTATGCTTGTCTTTAATGCATTAAAGTTTTACTAGGGGTAACCCGTGCTATGCATGGGAGTTTATAAATTAAAAAAAAATCATTATAATTATCGTGAAGTAATTTAATATTTTATCTTGCGGTATATATGAAATTTATAAGTTAACTTTTATGTTTATAACTTTTTAAATTAGTAGTTTAAAAAATTAAAAATATATATATAAATATGTTTAGTGCAATTTTGATAATTTGTATTAAAAAAAAAGTTAAACTTGATTAAATGAGATTAATTGAGTTATGACATACCTCTTCCTATTATGAAAATATACAAATTTAATAGTTATAATTAAAACAAATTTAAAATTTTATTATTAAATATGAAGTGATGTAATATTTAACAATAATTAATATGATGTTCCTATTTTTCATCCAATAATGTAAGTTACATTTATTTTGATTTTAATTTCATAACAAAAAATACAATATGAATATAATACACACATGAATAAATATTGGATGTGTGTATTCTACGCTCAAGCGGAACAAAACCTTGTGTCTGACGCTCGAGCGTCAACTATTCCGCTCGAGCGGATTGCGTATATATCAGATTGCGAAAAGCACTTTTTACAGCACTTTTTCAGATCTATTTGCTCCAAAACCCTATAGTGAGACCCGCTTTCTCTAAAATTTACCTTCTCTCTAGATTTCCACCTAGATCTAGTGATCTATCCACCATATTTCCTTGGATAAAAAGCTAGAACACCTTGAAAATCTTCATTTTCATCTGATTGGAAGTTGGTTTCGGCATTTTTGAAGTTTCATCCTTGCTTAGCTCATCTTCTCTCTTTGAGATAGGAATTTTCTACCCTTTGTTATGGTTTTTAACTTAGTTATTTGTGATTTTGTAACAACAGTGAGCTTTGGGAGTATTGTGAGCCAAACCCAGGGCTTGGGTGAAATGTAAAAGAGGGGTTTTTGGTGGAAGCGAAATAAATGAACATGCGGTTGGAAAGTGAAGTCTCAATGTGTCAAAATGAGTGATTTTTATAGCGATTCCAATTTTGACTCGACCTTTATTGTATTCTGGACTCAGGTCTTGTAGTTTAATATTGTTATTGATGTCTTTCCTCCTTTTCCTTTTTGAAATTAAGTTTTGGAATGTCTTAGGCATGTTTAGAACAAGTTGGTTGGTAATTGGTCTTGAATGTTGTTGCCCAGAATTTTGGTCTTCCGCTCGAGCGGGGTTTGCAAACACTCAGTACTTTGCACGTTTACAAAATACTGAAGGGGTGTTTTCCATGCTCAAGCGGCGTTCCCTACGCTCGAGCGGGTGGACGCTCGAGCGGAATTCCTTATGTTTGAGCGGATTATTTTTTGTCTTCATAAATATGGGATGTGTGTATTCTGTGCTCGAACGGGCCACTTTTGCGCTTGAGCGGAACAAAACTTTGTGTCTGACGCTTGAGCGTCAACTTCTTCGCTCGAGCAGACTGCGAGTATATCAAATCACGAAAAGCACTTTTTACATCACTTTTTCAGATCTATCCATCTCAAAACCCTAAAGTGAGACCCTCTCCCTCTAAAATACTCTATCTCTCTAGATTTCCACCTTGTTCTAGTGGTTTCTCAACCCTTTTGCCTTTATTAAAAAGGTAGAACTCCTCAAGCTCTTCACTTTGATCCGAGTAGAAGTTGGTTTCACCATATTTGAAGTTCCAACCTTGCTTGGCGCGTCTTCTCTCCTTGAGGTAGGGATATTCTACACCTTGTTATGATCTTTAACCTAGTTATTTGTTGTTATGTATAAATGGTGAGTCTTGCCATGTTTGGAGAAAGTCTAGGATTTTGGGTTCAAATTGAAAAAAGGGGTTTCTATATTGGGTTACTTGAATGACTATGGGGTTTTGGATATAAGATTATCTTGTGTTAAAATAGTGGATTTTGACCTTTGGGTTAATATTTAAAAAAGGGAGAAATTTGCCCCAATATGTGTTAAATAATTATTTTGTATAAATAATAAAATTGGTGTGAGAAATGTGAAATTGGAGAAAGGTATAAATGAGTGGTGTGGTTGGATTTGTTTAAGCACTCACCTATGGAAATTTGATGAATTATCTGTTAAAAAGATTGTATATCTGTTAGAAATATCTATATTGGGCTATTAGTGGATGATAGCTATGTTTGTTGTAGAAATTGCATGAGGATTAGGTGAATTGAAACTAATCAATTAAACTGTGTCATTGAATATGACAGTATGACTAAGGCATTGAATACGTGTTGTGGATAGCCAATGGATATGATGATGCTTTAAATACGTTGTATATGTATAATATTTTGGGAGGAGAAATGAGATGTACTCCATTATTTGGGAGGAGATAGGGGATGAACTCCATTGGAAACTAAGTTGGCCGGAGTGTCCAAGGTGAAAGTCTCGAAATCTTATATATACATGGTGTCGATCCCGGGGACGAAATTTCTGTAAAATGGCAAGGTTGAAGTGCTTGTATGATAGTTATGTTGATTGAGAACCACTGAGTTGTAGTCTCGGTTGGGTATTTGGAAAATTATACACTTGGTATATGACTTGAATGAAATGAATTAACTTGAAAAGAATAAGTGGAATCGGATTGAGATGTGAGTATCAGTACTTAATGATCATGGGAAGAATGTAAATGGGTCATAAATATTGAATGTTTATCTAACACTTATATCTTAGTTAAACCTCATATATT